ATTAGGGAAAGAAAGTAATGACTAATTTTAGAAGAAAAATTACATGCAATTTTTTTTTTTAAAATAAGATAAATAATTAAGCTATTTTTCGTTTTTTGCATAATAGGAAAAAAATTATGTTTTAAAAAAATAGAGAATCTATATATATGGGACAAAAATGAAAAACGATATAATATGTTAAGTGCGTCCAAGTCTAAATATTCTCGCGAAGGAACTCGGTTTTTGAAAATATAGTCGTAATTTGATTTGGACTGTTTAGCTTTCCTTACTAGTCAATTTGGAGAAAATATAATAATCATATATATGTATATATATATATATGGTTAAAATAGAAAGATGAAGATGTAATTAAAATAAAATATATATTTTGAGATCTTATTAATAATAATAAATATAATAGTATATTAAATATTGTGTATCATATTTATTTTCGTTATACTTATATATATTTTATTTTATTTGTTAATTTTTATTTATAAATATATGAATCATGTAAAAAATATAGTAATAAAAATAATCCCTTTTTATATTATCTTATTTTATTTTTAACATGTATATTGTTAGAAAATTTTATTAATATACCGGGTGGAAAGAATTTCCCATCATATATATACTCTAGTAGAAAATTTAATTAATCCTGTGAGCAAAATAATTTTTAAAAGATTTAGAAAATTATCAGAATCAAGAACCACTAGAACCACTAAGAATCTACCTATTTAGAAATATATTTAAAACTTTTGAGATGTGCATGCAATTCAACCTATCATATAATTAGTAATTATTTTACTATATCTATACACAAACACACACACACAATAATTGTTGTATCTTTAAGGAGATTAATTTACTATATATCTTTCAACATATTCTGCATCTCCTAAAATTGTATGTTAGATTATTTTTAATAATGAATTAATTGGTAAGATATTCCATATTACGATAAATTTCATATCTCTTGATAATTTAGGAAGGTGGGAGGAAGTCAAAGGCTTCCTTGGGGATGGTCTCATGAAAAGCATGAATGATCCAATTTTAAATGTGAAGTGACGTACTTCCTCTCCTGAATTTGATATCATTTTTTATTTTTATTTTTATTTTTATTCCTTTATTCACAAGCCATTTCTCTGCCTTTGGTTGGTTTCATCCACAAGAAACATTCATAGCAATTGAATCTCAAATTTATGGTTCCCTGCCCCATTTTCTTCACCTACAAAAAAAGTGAACCTTCCATTCCCATTTCTTTATTATATCATTAAAAAAATATTTCCTTCCTTTTTTTTTCAAAATTCAAGAAAAATATGTGTTCTAGATATATGGTCGAGACATTTCAAAATTTCATATAATTGTCAGATTTTGTCCAAAATTAATTTGGATTTATTAAAAAAAAAATTTGAACAAATCATTTCTATCTAATCGATTGAATTCGTATTCGATTAATTTCATTAATTAATTAATTTTTAGATAAAACTTGTTTATATACGTGTAAGTTACTATTGATTTTTTTTTTATACATTTGGACTAAGGATGTTAACCAAATCTAGGTTGCTAACTTTTCTTATTTTAAATTTTAGAGAGAATTTGTTGGAATTTGCTAGCGAGGGAGACGGTTGACTGTAACTATATTTCTTTTATAAAAAAACATTGTTCGAAAATTTAAAATCTATATATATATATATATATATATATATAT